TCTTCTTAGGCTTCATCGGGACTGAGGAAGATAAGCAAGCAGTAGTTCCTTGCGGCAGAAGGAAGAAAAAAGAAGAAGAAGAAGATTGTTCTCCCTTGGCTTCTTTTTTGTGACTTGTGGCAAAAAAAAAATGGGTTTATTTCTCTTGTAATTTTATTCTCTTCGGTATATCTTGGTGTGGAGAGAGAAGAAGAGACATCAACGAAGTGAGAGATCCCTCTTGTAGTTCGAGACAATCGACTGGTGTAAATTCCTCAAGTAGTAAAATCCTCTGCAACTTCGTGGACGTAGGTCATTTATCAACCCACGTAAATCTGTGTGTTCCATTGTACTACTGTTTTTTGGTGTGAATTTTCTCATTCTATTTTTCGTTTCATCAAAGATCGTTCTGCTATTTTATTTCTATGTACCACAACAACTGGTATCAGAGCTTTGTTCGGATCTGAGGAAGGAAGAATGATGGCTACAGATGGAGTGAATGTTTCAGGGATCGAGAAGTTTGATGATAAACTTTGGTTATTGGAGGATGCAGATAGAGGACTACCTCTATGAAAAAAAAACTTCATCTTCCGCTATTGGGGAAAAGACTGAAAGAATGGATGAGGCTAAATGATTTTTTTTTATCAACAAGTTCTGGGGGTTATTTGATTGACCTTATTGAAGTCCGTTACACACAACGTTGTCAAGAAGAGGACAGCTGCAGATCTAATAGAAGCCTTATCAGGTTTGTATGAAAAGTCATCGACGAATAACAAGGTAATCTGAAGAAGAAGTTATTCAACTTGAAGATGATAGAAAGTGTTATTGTTTCTCAACACCTGACTATTGCTCAACACCTGATTGTTGCTCAACACCTGAATGATTTCAATACAATCAAAAATTAATTATTGTATGTTGAAATTGATTTTCATGATGAGATATGTGTGTTGATATTGTTGACATTATTTTCAAATAGTTGGGAAACCATGAGGATCACAATTAGCAGTTTTACAATTAAATCTAAACTGAAATGAGACGATATTCGTGATTTGATCTTTTCTGAGGAGGTGCGCAGGAATGATTGTGGCGAGATCTCAGGTACAAGTTCGACACAGAATGTTGATCTCAGAGGGAGATCATTGGTCATGAACTCAAATAGAAAGATATCAAAATCAAAGTCTAGTCAACAGACAACCTGCAGAAATCCCAAGAAGATAGAGAATTATAGTGCAAATGTGACATTTGAAAAAGTGCATGATGCACTATTGCTAGCAGTTCATAGTTCTATTGATAACTGAATATTTGATTTAGGGGCTTCTTTCCATATAACATTCCATCGGGAATTGATGCAATATTATGTTGTAAGTGAATTTGAGAAAGGATATCTGACAGATGGAGAAGCTTTGAATGTGGTTGGAAATCTATCAGAGACCACAGTGCAAGACAGTGATGAAAGTGAAGAGGTGAGTGAGTCTGGGGCACCCATTTCTATTGTTCCACAGACAAATGGTGGTGAACCACAAATTTATGAAGAAATCTTGCAAGATAAAAGTTCGAGCAAGTGGGAGCTGACAAAACTTTCACTAGGGAAGAAGACATTACACAACAAGTATGTGTACCAGTTGAAGATTAAGTGTGATGACAGTAAGAAGTACAAGGCTATACTTGTTGAAAAAGAATTTCAACAGAGACATGATTGCTCATGCAATGAGAGTTGTAAGCAGAGACAAGAGTAACCTAACGAATAGCTTGGAGGTGTAAAGCTATGTCGGCCCTGTTGATATGTTGATTGAGGGTGTTACTCTTGTGAAACTAAAGTTGTACACAGCTTCAATTGGTCTTCTGTTGTAAAGACAGGGGCCATGAGTTGCAGAAGTGGAGGATTCATGTTTGAAGAAAAAGACGACACTGCAAGTGGAGGATATCAGTTTGGACAAGAAGGAAGAAGAAAGAAGGAGAATAAGATTGTTCTCCCTTGACTTCTTTTTTGTGGCTTGTGGCAGAAGAAAAATTGGGTTTATTTCTCTTGTAATTTTATCCTCTTCAGTATATATTGGTGTAGAGAGAGAAGAAGATACATCGAAGAAGTGAGAGATCCCTCTTGTAAGTCGAGACGATCGACTAGTGTAAACTCCTCAAGTAATAAAATCCTTTGCAACTCCGTGGACGTAGGCAATTTGTCAAACCACGTAAATCTGTGCGTTCCATTTTGTTACTATTTTCTGGTGTGAATTTTCTCATTCTATTTTTCGTTTTATCAAAGATTGCTCTGCTATTTTATTTCTATATACCACAACAACTGGTATCAGAGCTTTGTTTGGATATGAGGAAGAATGATGGCTACAAATAAAGTGAATGTTTCAGGGATCGAGAAGTTTGATGATAAATTTTAGTTATCGGGTGATGCAGATAGAGAACTACCTCTATGGGAAGAAACTTTGTCTTCCGTTATTAGGGAAAAGACCTGAAAGGATGGATGAGGCTGAATGAAATTTTTTGATCAACAAGTTCTGGGGTTATTCGATTGACCTTATTGAGGTTCGTTTCACACGACGTTGTCAAGGAGTGGACGGTTGCAGGTCTCATGGAAGCCTTATCATGTTTGTATAAAAAGTCATCGACGAATAACAAGGTATATCTGATGAAGAAGTTATTCAACTTGAAGATGACATAAAGTGTTACTGTTGCTTAACACCTGACCGTTGCTCAACACCTTAATGATTTCAATACTATCACAAATTAATTGTCGTATGTTGAAATTAATTTTCATGATGAGGTATGTGCGCTGATATTGTTGGTATCATTTTCAAATAGTTTGGAAGACATGAGGATGACAATTAGCAGTTTTACAGTTAAATCTAAACTGAAATGAGATGGTATTCGTGATTTGATTTTGTCTAAGGAGGTGCGCCGGAAGGATTTTGGTGAGATCTCAGGTATGAGTTCGACAATGAATGTTGATCTCAGAGGGAGATCACAGATCATGAACTCAAATAGAGATAGATCAAAATCAAAGTCTGGTCAGCAAACAACCTGCAGGAAACCCAAGAAGATGGAGAATTATAGAGCAAATGTGATATATGAAAAAGAACATGATGCACTGTTGATAGTAGTTCATAGTTTTGTTGATAACTGGATATTAGATTTAGTTGCTTCTTTCCATATAACATTCCATCAGGAATTGATGCAATATTAAGTTAGAGTTGACTTTGAGAAAGTATATCTGACAAATGGAAAAGCTTTGAATGTGGTTAGAAATCTACCAGAGGCCACAGTGCAAGACACCGATGGAAGTGAAGAGGTGAGTGGGTCTGGGGCACTAATTTTTATTGTTCCACATACAAATTGTGGAGAACCACAGATCTATGAAGAAATCTTGCAAGATAAAAGTTTGAGCAAGTGGGAATTGATATAACTTCCACTAGGGAAGATGACATTACACAACAAGTGTGTGTATCAGGTGAAGACTAAGTGTGATGATAGTAAGAGGTACAAGACTAGACTTGTTGAAAAAGGCTTTCAACAGAGACATAATATTGCCCATGCAATGAGAGTTGAAAGCAGATACAAGAGTAACCCAGCAAATAGCTTGGAGGTGTAAAACTTTGTTAACTCTGCTGATATGTTGACTGAGGGTGTTACTTTTGCGAAACTGAAGTTATACACAGCTTCAATTGATCTTCTGGTGTGAAGACAGAGACCATGAGTTGCAGAAGTGGATGATTCATGTTTGAAGAAAAAGGCAACGTCGCTAGTGGAGGATATCAGTTTGGGCAAGAAGATGTTTTTGCATGTGTACCGGTTTCCAAGTGGGAGATTTGTTAAGGATGGAGCCCGGTTCGCGACTTTGCTCTCGCTCGGTCGCGCCTGCTCCCGCTTTTTTGTCGCGAAACATCGCAAACCGATCCCACTCTCTGTTGTTTCAAACTGTTCCCGTCTATGCCCATTCCCGCCCTATCTGTTTCGCAAAGAGAAGCATCCCTTCTTTCGTTATAAGTCGCTAACATACAACAGTTTTTGGGTGATGTGTGTGGTTAGAAAGAGAAGAAGAAATCACACGACTCTCCTTCAGATTTTGCATGGCCTTTTTGTGTTTTTCTATGGGTTTCCTCGATACAGAGAAAGAGAACTGCAGGCAGTAGTTCCTTGCGGCAGAAGGAAGAAGAAAGAAGAAGAACAAGATTGTTCTCCATTGGCTTCTTTTTGGTGGCTTGTGGCAGAAGATAAATTTGGTTTATTTCTCTTGTAAATTTATTTTCTTCTGTGTATCTCGATTTAGAGAGAGAAGAAGAGAGAGCAACGAAGTGAGAAATCTCTCTTGCAAGTCGAGACGATCGACTAATGTAAATTCTTCAAGTAGTAAAATCCTCTGCAACTCCGTGGACATAAACAATTTGTCGAACCACGTAAATCTGTGGGTTTCATTGTGTTACTGTTTTTTGTGTGAATTTTCGTGTTCTATTTTTCATTTCATCAAATATTGTTCTCCTATTTTATTTCTATGTACCACAACACACCACTCAAATGTTATGTAGCGATTTACATAAATATCATTCAATTTCAATGAAATAATCTACATATATATCACTCATTGGTTATGACAATTATTTTTTAAACGGTGTTACTAAATATGAGCATAATGATAATTTGTCCATAAATAGCTGTCACATAGCGGTTTTTAATTAGCTGAAAAAAACAGCAGCTAACTTCCCAACAACAACTTCCTCGCAACAGCTTCTTAGGACAGCGCAGATGTGCAGCTTAAAAGCTGAGAAGCTGCAGCTACCCTAACAAGACCCTTATTTGAAATAATACAAAATAGTTTTAAAACCCAACTATGTGCCATTAGTTCCACATGAGTGTGCGTTGGGTCTTATTTTCAACAAAATGATGATAGGAGTGATAGAATATTCAATGGGCTTGCTTCCTTGTTTCTTGACGTCAACTATTTCTTGCACCCTTAAATAACTTCCACATAAATCTATTAAACTATCTTTTTCATGTTGTAAACAGCTCAACAACTTTGGTAGACGCATCGACCCCTTTATTCTAATGTCGTCGCAGAATCCTAAGCTAAGGGGAAGAAAAAATGGCCACGCCATGGTCGCCGGCGTTAGGCTTTGCAGTGATCCTCGCCTCCTGCTTCGGGGCCACGGCCTACTCGAGACCACCGGCTGGCAAAATTCTGACGGTGGAAAGTTCTGAGTCTGACTCCCATCCTCAGCAGGTGCTTACACATACTTTCTGAAATTAAAAAAATATATATTTTTTGATGTATTTTGGGTAAAAATAGCACTTTTAATATGAAATATTGTATCAAGATAGACATGCATGACATCGATACCATAGTAAGGATATTTTAATTGCTATAGAATTTTTTTAATAATGTAAATAAGGGTATTTTAATGGGTATATATATGCTGGTGCTAATAAATCTTATAATGAGTGATTTGAGTTGAATAATTCAGTATTCCATAGAGGTAATATTACTTATGAAAGATGGACTGACGGTCAAACATAAATAAAACCAAACCAGAAATAATACTAAATATTCTATTTTATTTTCTTACATATATTTATTCTTAATAATTTAAATTAGATCATGAATCAATTCCCCACAACTAAACAAATTGTTTGACTCTGATTTTACGATAAAGAACATTTTTTTCGTCATTATTATATAAAAATCAAGTCTTGATCCTTTTTTTCGGAATGAATTACATAGGTTCATGTTTCCATGGTGGGATCCGATCACATGCGTATTTCATGGATCGCCAAAGAAAAGAATACTCCTTCGCTTGTTGAATACGGCAAAATACCCGGCGTTTATGACAGATCTGCCACCGGCGAGAGCACCTCATATCGCTTCTTCTTCTACACCTCCGGCGAAATCCACCACGTCAGTGTCGGCCCATTGGATTCCAACACCACATATTACTACCGCTGCGGCGGCGTTGGCGACGAGCTCGCCTTCAAAACTCCACCTGCAGCTCTTCCTGTCGACTTCGTGCTCGCAGGTTTGTCGCTACCTCCACCATTGTCTCTTCCTTCTTAGTTCTCATTCAAACAAGCTGATAAAATTGCGTGCGTATACAGGAGATTTGGGGCAAACGGACTGGACGGCATCCACTCTCTCACACATAAACAACTCAGACTACGACATCCTTCTCCTCCCCGGCGACCTCTCATACGCCGACTCCCAACAACCGCTCTGGGACTCCTTCGGCCGCCTTGTACAACCCCAAGCAAGCCGCCGGCCATGGATGATCACACAAGGCAACCATGAGATCGAATCCCTTGTTCCCATCTTCCGCATCCACGCCTTCGCCGCCTACAACGCGCGCTGGCGCATGCCATTTGAGCAGAGCTCCTCTGCTTCCAACCTCTACTATTCGTTCGATGTGGCCGGAGGGGAGGCTCATGTGCTTATGCTCGGTTCTTATGCCGATTATGGCGTCCGGTCACAGCAGTACAAGTGGTTAAAGGCAGATGTTGGGAAGGTTGACAGGAAGAAGACGCCATGGGTGCTGGCGATTGTTCATGTGCCGTGGTATAATACGAACGATGCGCACCAAGGGGAGGGTGAGGGAATGAGAAAGGAAGTGGAGAAGCTCGTCTTTGATGCGAAGGTCGACATTGTCTTCGCCGGCCACGTCCACGCCTATGAGCGATTTGTAAGTCTTGTTTCTGATTAATTCTACGCCTACAAGCGATTTGATTTACATAATTTGGTTAAGTTGTTATCTGTAATGTATATATGTGTCTTAAACTTCAGAAATTTTGATGAACTCGGCCTGTAATTCACTGATTTGTTTTGAAAAATCTTTTCTTTCGAAGCAATCTGTCTAGAAAAACCTTCATTAAGATGCACATTTGCAATTTTTCCCTGTTTAATACAAGTAATTATTTATTATAGCTTACTATTATATATTTTTTCTTGTTTGTCTGACTTGTCTTTCGACATTTTTTTAATATCTGTGACAGACGAGAATATATGACAACTGTTACAATCCTTGCGGTCCTATATACATAACCATTGGAGATGGAGGAAACAGGGAAGGTCTTGCCAACCAGTAAGCAAAAGCAGTACATTCATAAATTGCTTTAATGGCTTGTATTTTAAGATGTGTGTGTGATTTCATTGTATTTTAGTTGATAAAACCAATACAACTAAAATATGACGATTCATATGTGCGGGGAATCCACACCTAACATTTTTGTGTGTATGCGTTCATCTCTCTCATTGATCCAATTTGATGTCTTCCCTTAAGTTCAATATCTCGTTGGACTCAAGAGAAGGGCAAAGCAGAATCCCTCTGCGCTATTGGAAACTCACCAACGGAATTCAAAAGAACTCATGAAGTATTAGCAATAGTCAATGCCCCCATCTTTTTTCTTACTCCATTTAAATAATAGAAACATATAACAAAACCTCCCATCCCAACTGGGAATGTAATAACCAATAAAATTACTTTTAGGAAAGCAAATAAACACATAACATAAAGGAAAATATAACATGAAAAAGAAAAAACTTTAATTAACTTCTAAAATTGGAGTCTTTAATTGAGCTTCTTAATTCAAATTCAAATTTTGAATTTTGAATTTTGAATTTTGAATTTGAATTTGAAACTTTAATTAGGATTTATTGTTCTTCCTGATTTGTCTCGGTTTCCAAATCTTCTTCTATAATTTAAAACTTTAATTTGAATTTTGAATAATTTTGAATTTGAAATTAGATTGCCCTTCCTGATTTGTCTGGGTTTCCAAATCTCCTTCCATAATTTTCTCTGGATTTGCATCAATTGTCGGCGCTCCTGGAGAATTTGACTCCGGCAAGTTATGTTGACGGTAAGTAGCAAAAAGATGTGGATTTAAACGTTGGAGCTCAATGCTTGTAACCAAACAGAGTTTGAATTTGAACGATTTTTTCATTGAACTAAGAACTTGAAATATCTTCCCCGGAGAGTCGAAACAAATTGATGTTCTAGAATGACAACAATCTCATCTAGTGGTATTGTATTTTCTAGCATTCGCATGATCGATGATTCGTTTCGAGCTGGCAGTGCAAAAAAGTCACGGTCATCTCCTTTGAATGCAGTAAGGTCTTCACTGTTAAACACTGGGCTAATGCCGAAGTTGGAGGGTAGCTCAATAACATGGGCATTAGTTCTTAATTTCTTGATAACTTTAAAAGGGTTTGTTCGACGGGCATGAAGCTTGGTAAAACTCCCCGGAGGAAAACGTTCTGACCTTAACCGAACAAGGACCAGATCCCCGTTGTTAAATTGACGATCCTTATATTTTGAGTTTGTTAACGCTGCATAGGAATTTGTGTGGAACGTAAGGCGCCGCTTGCATTCTTCGTGAATAGTTTACATATAACTAGAAAAATCCACTGCAATCTCACTTGGCCTGGGTGACAACAGTAATGAGTTGATATCTAGTGGAGTGTTGGGTCGAAACCCATAAACCACTTCGAATGGAGCACAACCTGTTGATTTATTAACAGAGTTATTGAAGGCAAACTCTGCATGAGAAAGTATCATATCCCAGCTGATAACGTGATTCGCAACAAGACAGCGTAGTAAGTTCCCTAAACTCCTGTTGATCACTTCAATTTGACCATCAGTTTGGGGGTGAAATGCACTTGAAAACATCAACTTGGTTCCCATTTTTTCCCACAGAGTCTTCCAAATATAGCTTACAAATTTGACATCTTTATCGGACACTATGGAGGATGGGACACCATGTAAACAGACAACCTCCTTCATGAATACTACTGCAACTTTAGATGCATCAAAGGTTTTGTGGCATGGAATAAAATGAGATATTTTAGAGAAGTGTTCTACCACCACCATGATTGAGTCGTGTTGCCGAAGAGTCTTGGGCAACCCAAGAACAAAGTCCATACTTACGTGTTGCCATGGTTTGTTCGGAATGGGAAGTGGTGTGTAGAGTCCAGGCTGCCGCTTGGTCCCTTTATTGAGTTGGCAAACTCGGCATTGGTCAACCACAGTGTTCACATCTCTCCTTAGTCGAGGCCAATAGAAACGATCAACCACAATAACATAGGTTTTATCGTACCTGAAATGCCCCGCCAAACCCCCATCATGGAGTTCGAAAATTAGAAACTCTCGCATTGACCGCGCGGAATGCAGAGGCGGGACTTGAAGAATAAGAAGTCCTCCTGCAACATGTATTCATTACCTGATGGTCGGTTGTGCTTGAGATCATTCCATACCTTGTCGAAATCTTCGTCGTCGGCATACTTGGTTTTGAGACTGTCGAATTCTGTAGTATTGATGGTAGATAAATGTAACACATGAGGCCTTCTGCTCAAGGCGTCTGCCACCTTGTTCTCCTCCCCCGACTTATGCTTAATAAGAAATTCAAATTGTTGTAGGTAATCCATCCAACGTGCATGTCTTGCATTCATTTTGCTTTGAGAATTTAAGTGCTTCAAGGAGTCATGATCGGTATAAAGAATGAATTTCTTATGGATTAAATAAGGCCGTCAGCGCTTCAATGTTTGAATTTATGCACAAAATTCCATATCGTAAACTGAGTAACGCCTGCGAGTCTTGTTGAGTTTTCACTGAAAAAGGCAGTGAGATGACCTTCTTGACTCATAACACCTTCGATTCCCACATGCGAAGCATCACACGCCATCTCGAAAATTTTAGAGAAATCTGGCATTTTGAGTACCAGTGCTTGTCCCATTTTTTTTTAATCTCATTGAAAGCTTTTGTTGTCGCAACACCCCACAAAAAAAAATTTTCTTTCAAGCACTCAGTGATTGGGGCCATTATGGTGCTAAAATTGCGAATAAATCGTCGGTAGAAGGTGGCCAAACTGTGGAAGCTACTGACTTCAGATAAATTATGGGGTGTTGGCCATGCCTGGACAGCATGCACATTTACAAGATTGGCCTCAACTCCCTGGTTTGAGATGATAAAATCGATGAACTTGGCACTTGTCTTCATAAACGAACACTTCTCCCTATTAATAAAGAGTTGTTCCGCCTTCAAGACCTTCAGTACCTGTTCGATGTGGCTCAAATGTTCCTGCATGCGACTGAAAATTAATATATCATCAAACTACAACAAATTTACCCAAAAAAAGTTTGAGGATTTGCGTCATGACCTGCATGAACGTGCTGGGAGCGTTCGTTAATCCGAAAGACATAACTAACCATTCGAACAACTCATCTTTTAACTTGAAGGTCGTCTTCCATTCATCCCCTGGTCGTATCCGAATTTGTTGATAGCCACTCCGGAGATCTAACTTGGTGAAAATAGAAGAGCCATTAGCGAGTCTAACATGTCGTCGAGGCGTGGGATGGGAAATCGATACTTCACAGTTATTTTGCTGATTGTGTGGCTATCTACACACATCCTCCAACTACCATCCTTCTTCGGTGTCAACAAAACTGGAAAAGCATAGGGACTAAGGCTTTCTCGAATAAACCCTTTGTCTAGCGAGTGCTGAATTTGTCGACTAAGCTCTTCGTTTTCCGTTGGACTCATCCGATAGTGTGGGATGTTGGGCAAAGTTGGATCGGGGATCAAGTCAATAGCATGTTGGACTTCCCGAAGGGGAGGGAGTTGATTCGGCATTTCATCTGGCTGATATCCAGGAATCCTTCCAGCAATGCTGAGAGCTCCGATGGAACGTGATCGTCCCCTTGCGTCGCCTCATGTGTGACTATCATAAGCACCATATGGTGGTCATGCATAGCACAAGTGAATGGGTGCATCGCCAGAACTGGGCACGCTTCCCTCTTTGCCTCAAATTCCGTTACCTGTAAGGGATCCAAAACAAATTTTTTACCTTTAAAATCAAAGGAGTAAGTGTTAGCGTACTCGTCATAAATAACTTTCTGATCGAAGAGCCAGGGTCGCCCCAATAACAGGTGGCAAACAGTCATATAAACTACATCGCATCATGCTTCATCTGCGTATGTTTTCCCCAGCGAGAAGTTAATCAAACAACGTCACTTCACAAGGACGGAATTAGTTTCATTAACCCAACTAATCCGATAAGGAGCGGGGTGCTTTTTTGTCTTTAATTTTAGTCGTTCTACGACGGTTTCAGAAATCACATTCATGGCACTCCCATTGTCAATAATTACATTCAACGCCGCCCGACCGTTATGCTCCATTCGTGTATGAAAAATATTGGTGCGCTGCCACTCGGGGTTGGTCTGGAGTTCTTTTTTTGATCCCGTCAATACTCTCTTGATTACGCAGCTGGGTAACTCTGACGCGCTCAAATGTTCTTCTTCACTGTGAATATCCACATCGGGATGCTCCTCCTCTGTGTCTTCGCCCACCTCCACCTCCAGTAGCTCATTCTCGCAGATAAAGACTAATTTCTTGTCTCTTGTCAGACATACGACAGCATAGTGTCCGGAGCCTTTACACTTATAACACTGGGGTCCATCGCTGGTAACCTTTGTTTTTCCCTTTAAGTCTCCGCTTTCCGCAACTCTGAAGTGATCTTTCGGAGCTGATGCTCTTTGGGAAGGAGTTGGAGTAACACGTTCTTGTCTTGCGTCTGTTGCCGTCACTTTCTTCATCACCGTAGAACCTATTTGTTTCTCAATACGGAGAGCCAACTAGTATGCCTCCTCGACGTTGATTAAGCAAGCAGTCCACTTCTCTCTACGTAGCTCACTCTGCAAGCCGGTGCGGTATCGAGCCAAAGTTTGTTGTTCGGTTTCAACAATTTTTCTGCGAACAGTCAACTCGTGGAAGCGGTCCGTGAATTGATCCACACTCATCGATCCCTGCCTAAGCTGCAACATTTCCTCGAACATCATTTGCTTGTAATTGATAGGCAAATATTTTTCCCTTGAGTCTCTCCTTCATTTTTTCCCAATTGGAGACCACTGGACGGCGCGTACATCGTAATTGTTCTTCCACACTTCCCCATCATGCTCGCGCATGCCCCTTCAATTTCATCCGGACGTACTGAGCCCTTCTATCCTTTGAGACGGAAAACCAATCGAAATAATCCTCGATTGCTGTTAACCAATCCTCGAACGCGTTGGGTTGCAGCTTCCCGTAAAAATCTGGCACATCAATCTTCATTCTCTTGGTGAGTTCATCTAGAGGTTGATAATCTAGACTACGTTCGACTTGTCCTCGGCGGAAACTCCGCCCGTGGCGCTCGGACTCGTGATGCAATTCGCGGTTCTCCAGCTCCTGAGATTCATTATCGTCCTCTATGTCCTCCGCGTGTCCGTCGCTGTCGTTTTTTTTTTCTCCCACGAGCTGCTTCTTTCCCTCGTTGATTACTAGGGCCAGCCATACTCCGTTTGCGCATAGCGTTCCTCCATAACATCAAGTCGATGAGTGAGTTGCTCTAAAGCGGTGGTGAGTTGGTGGATTTGGTGCTGTAGCTGGGGTTGATTTGTGTAATGATTGATGGGGTTTTGATCGTTTGGGTGCGAGTTGTTCGCCATGACATATGAGCTACCACTACGAGTTACAGACATGAGATGATGACTTCGTAGTGAGGGAACTTTGATCGTCTCTGATACCAAATTGATGTCTTCCCTTAAGTTTAATATCTCGTTTGACTCAAGAGAGGGGCAAAGCAGAATTCCTCTACGCTGTTGGAAATTCACCAACGGAATTCAAAAAAACTCATAAAGTAGTAGCAATAGTCAATACCCCCATCTTTTTTTCTTACTCCATTTAAATAATAGAAACATATTACAAACCTCTCATCCCAACTGGGAAGGTAATAACCTATTAAATTACTTTTAGGAAAGCAAATAAACAGATAACATAAAATAAAATATAATCTGAAAAAGAAAAACTTTAATTAACTTCTAAAACGGGAGCATTTAATTGAGCTTCTTAATTCAAATTCAAAATTTGAATTTTGAATTTTGAATTTGAATTTGAAACTTTAATTAGGATTTGTTGCTCTTCCTGAGCTGTCTCGGTTTCCAAAGCCTCCACCATAATTTGAAATTTTAATTTGAATTTTGAATTTGAAATTAAGATTTATTGTCCTTCCTGATTTGTCTGGGTTTTCAAATTCTCCTCCATAATTTCATTTGGATTTGCATCACAATTGGAATTCCTCACCATCATAGAATCAATTTTATAAAAAATTTTGTTTCTAAAATCACTAAAGCCATGTACAATAAATGTGTTTGAAAAAAAATCATGTATTGCACACTAACTTGAGTTTCATTTCTGTTTTACGTACCTTCTTGAAGTTTTAACGAACACCACAAAGCTGCCCATCTCTCTGTATTTAGAGAAGCAAGCTTCGGCCATGGCAGACTTAGGATATTGGACAATAAGCGAGCTCATTGGACGTGGCACCGTAACAATAGTTCGAATTCAGAGGTGGGAGATGAGCTATGGATAGAGAGTTTGAGCTCCTCAGCTTCATGCATGACAAAACAGAATTCTGCAACTCATTCCAATGATGAGCTTTAGAATTGCTAAAAGTATTCTTCTAATGAACTTATTGATATCTTTGTTGATTTAATCCCTTTAATTAGATAATTAATTAGTAGGTTTTGTAATAATTATTGTTTTAACATAATTAAATTTGTGAATAATGATGTTTGTAAAGTATGATGCAAAATGCATTTTGTAGGTGGAGTCGTTTTATACCTTCTTATCATTTTCTTACTTTAATCTCATGCATCCTTTGAGGTTTGTTAGGAATAAAAATTGTTAAAGGCTAGAAGGCAAAGCAATGTAGGTGGAGTTGCTTTTTATCGTCATTTCATTTTGCTCAAAATTTATCATTATTGTAACACGCTTGAAGAAATAAGATGATGGCCTCTCATTTAAAGAAAGTGAAGAATTGAAAGGGATAATAATTTGCCATTGCAAAGCTCGAATGAAATCTATTGATTCAATTTTTTTGCTTATATGTTAGCGGAGGTTGCACCTAGATTTATGTTGTATGAATAAACTAGAATTAGAATATCATGTGAAAGTAAGAAAAAGACCTTAGAATTTTGAGGGTTGAATATAATCTTTGGAATCTTTGGAGATGCATGAAGAACTTAAACATTTCTTGCAAAGACTTGTTTGATCATGAGTATTTAGGATCAAAAATTTTCAAGATATATATATATATAAGATGATTATTCATTTTATCCAATATCCTAAAGAATTCAACATCAATAAATTCATCTTATAAGAAATTATTCATAGCATAAATTTGCTAAAAATCTAAAACTAAATACATAGAATTGTAATTTTAGTAGTAGTTGCTCTAGTGACAGAAGTGTGACTTTGGGTGATCAAATTATTAAAAGGCAAATTATTAAAAGGTTAAATTATTAAAAGGTTTGAACGATTTAGATATATTGGGTCTGTTGTTCAAAGCGATGGTGATATAAATGGGGATGTAAATAGTAAAATTCAAGTTGGTTAGCTGAAGTGGAGGAATGCTCCGAGCCTTTTGTGTGATAGAAAAGTACCGCTTAGGTACCGCTTAGATTGAAAGA